ACTACTTATGAGAAGAACTGTAAAAATATATCAACCAATAATAATGTGAGGACTTTATATTGCTCCAGATTCAAACAGACGATTAGAAATTTGAACACTCAATGAATATTTTATGATGTTAAAAATTGTTTTTTAGCCCTGACTGGTTTGGCTCAGTGGATACAGCGTCGACCTACGGACTCAAGGGTCCTAGGTTCAATTCTGGTCAAGGGCATGTACCTTGGTTGCGGGCACATACCCAGTAGGGAGTGTGCAGGAAGCAGCTGATCGATGCTTCTCTCTCATCGATGTTTCTAACTCTCTATCCTTCTCCCTCCCTCTCTGTAAAAAATCAATAACATATATTTTTTTAAAAATTGTTTTTTAATAAAATTACAGTATTTATTTTCTCTTAAAAAAATCCTTATTATGAGATACATACTAAAATATTTCTGGATGAAATGATATGATGTCTGAGGTTTTTATCAAATTAATATGTGAAGATAGATGAATGATACGATGTCTGAGATTTGTCAAATTAATTACACGAGGATATGTTTGTTGTCTGTGCACTTTTCCGTACATACGTCATACTTCAATAAATGAGAGAGGTACAAATGAAACATGATTGGCCATGAAAATGATTGAAACTGGAAGATGAGTATATGGGAGTTCATTATATTATTCTCTCCACCTTTGGATGAGTGTAAAATAATTAAAAATAAAATACCCATGAGAACAAATGATACAAGCTCACAAAAATGCTGAATCAGGATACAGTTCTTCTTCCAAAAAACAGGAAATAATTCCACTAACTACAAATTATATAAACCTGACTACAAATGTATTTGGTAATCATTAACAAGCCTAACTGCCTGAAAGTACCTTTGAGGAACAAGTCTCCTTCTTACTGTCTACCCCAATCAGAAAATTTATGTGACTCCTTCAACATGATAACTTTCTATACAGATTCAGAGATTAAAACTCCCAGAAAATAACAGGAAACAAGCCAAACACAAAACAACTATGTTGGAGGGAAGAGGTAGGAAAAAAATGTTGATCCAACTGTTCGATTTGGGGATTTTAGGATTCGCTCACACTCCAAAACCAAGGAGTGGAGACAATGGAAAGTCTCAGTTAAACCAATCAAACATGTACAACATGTTCTAAAAGTCAGGCTAGAACACAGCACCAGCCTACCTTCAAGGTAAAACAACAGATTCAGCAAGCACCTCGAGAAGCCACACAGGAACAGGGTTAATAAATATACGCTCTGGCAGCAAGCGCCCTGCCTTCTCACTCTCTGCCTTCTCCCTGCTTTATTTTTCTGAAGAGTCATCATTATATAAAATATATGTATTTTTTTATGGTCTGGCTTCCCCGTTAAGACAGATTCATGAGGTCAGGGACCTGGGTAGGTCTTTATTGCAGTCACTCACCCAGCTATAATATTATAGGTGCTCAATAAATATTTGCTGGTTTAATGACTACAAAGAAAACAACAGTAACAACAAAATAAGGAACAGGATATGCTGAAACCTCAGCAGAAGAGCTGAATCAGAACTGGCAAAAAGAACTTTGGTACACAACCATCATTAGTGGAAAATAGGAAAATGAACCATCTATTTTTAAAAGGAACAGAAAGCACCTGGGAAAAATTAGTATAATGAAAAGAGTGCACTGACATATTAGGAAAACTAGATTGATTAAAAATGCAAAACAACTAAAAGATACATTAGAATCTTAAAAGACAAGAACTGTAATGTATAAACACTGAACCAAAGATATAAAAGAGGAATTACAAGAAAAGAACAGAGATGAAGAAAAAGATGATGCAGAAGGCAAACAACAGAGATCCAACCTGAACCTCACAGGTGACAATGCCAAGTTGGAGGAGAAGAAACTAAAACAAGTAAAATCAAAGCCTTGACTACAGAAAACTTCAGAACTGAATAAGCTCACAAAAATGCTTGTTAATAAACCAATAAAAGGACCTCATCAAATTACAGGGAAAATCATAAAGAAAAAAGTATAATGAGGAACATTTAATCATAATGGTTATAGGGGGAAAAGTCTTATGAACAAAGGAACAAAAAGAAATTTAGGTCTCAGACTTCCTCTCAGGTTAATACTAGATGCCACAAAAGAGCAGATGAACTCCTACAGAGTTTTGAGGGACATGACAGTAAAGAAGTTTGTGTACAAGAAGTTGTCTGTCATGCTTGACCTACTCCTGCACTCCAAAGGAAAAAGAATCCAAGGAACCCATTGGAAACAGGCAAATGAGAGCTGAGACAACATAAACACATCAGCAGCTGCCTGGTGCTGAGGAGGCAGAATTTAAAGTTAACTCCTGGCCAATCAGAGGAACTTGGTTACTCCCTGGGACAGGGGTAGGCAACCCCTGGCACGCGTGCCAAACATGGCACGCCAGTAACTTTTGCTGGCACGCAAAACCCTCTCTTATAATCTTCCATTTACAATTTTTTTCTTAATATCGACTTTTTTATTTTTCAGGTAAATTCAGTGTAGGTGCATCTTAGATAATTTACATAACAAGTTATCTTAAAGACCATAGACATGGATTGACAAGAGAGGGGAAGAGCAATTTCTATGACTCTGCCTTAACTCTCCCTGCCTTCCTAGATATACTGTGTTTTTGTCGCTTGAATGAATTTTTTCTTCAAGGTTCTTCACATACGTGCACCTTAAGAGATATCAAGTAGGTGTAACATGTTCTCAAAAAATTAGGGTTGGCACGCAGAAGAATTTTGAGTCAGAGCTTTTGCTGGTTTTGGCACGCACTCACAAAAAGGTTGCCCACCCCTGGCCTAGGACTTTCCATTGACATCCCTGACTAACGGCCGTACCCTAGAACTAAGGAAAACTCAGAAATAGTAATAGGAGACCCAGAAGGAAAGGAAGGAGAGAAGAAAATATCTGAAAAAGTTGTGGGAAATAAAACCTCCCTGTATTTCTGTGTTCCTGTAAAAAAGCCTTCGTCTCCTGGGTCAGCAAAACATACATGCTATGAAGTGAGAGAATGTCTGCTTTTACTTCTCCCAGAATCATTTCACATACCATCAGGATTAGAACTGTAGCCATGAGTTTAAAACTTCCTTATCTCACAGAAAGCCAAGCAGTTACATCACAAGATAAGCGCCTAAGCTGGCTCCAAAGGAGTAGGAGAGACTCCAGTATCATCTTCCTAAGTATCCACTTTTCAAAGAGACATGAGGTCCCAGAACTTGGAAACACCGCTAGGTCTAAAAAGCCAAGGCAGGGAGAGAGTGTATCTGGCTCCTGAAGAGCTTTTATTTACATACCAAAGGACTGGAGTAAAGAGGAGAAGAGGGGGACAGCTAACTCCTTCCCCTTCATAAGAAAACACACACCCTCCCCCAGCTACTCACATAAAACAACTGACCTGGCTCTCAAAGCGTCTCCTAGCACAGTGGTTCTCAACCTTGGCTGCACATTAGAATCACCTGGGAATCTTTTTAAAATCCTGATTTCTGGGCCTCTTCCTCCGGAAATTCTGTTTCTCCGTTACTAATGATGAGGCCCCAGAAACCAGGATTTTAAAAAGATTCCCAGGTGATTCTAATGTGCAGCCAAGGTTGAGAACCACTACTTTACAGTGAAGTAATGACAAACACAACCCTGACCAAGTAATCAAGGTCAGTATCATCAGAGATAAGCTCATGTGATAGCACTTACTCCTAATATGATGTGTTGAGAACAGCACTTCACCTCTGTGGTCTTCCTCCTACAGACCCATCACCCCAGTGTAACCATGAGAAAAACATCAAACAAACTCAAATCGAGGGACATTCGGAAAAGTACCCTGCTAGTACTCCTCAAAACTCTAAGAAAATTCCAAAAAACCACTGCAGACCAGAGAAGGCTAAGGAGACATGATGACTAAATGTACTGTGGTATCCTGAATGAGATCCTGGAAAAGAAAAAGGACAGTAAGAGTAAACTAGTGAAATCTGAATAAAGTATTGAGTTAGTTAATAGTACTGTATCAGTGGTGATTTTCTGATTGTGACTAAGATGTTAACAATAAGGGAAACTGATGAGAGTTATATGGGAACTCTATAGCTCTGTAACTTTTCTGTAAATCTAAAGCTATTCTAAAATTAAATTTTTATTTTAAACATCTCAATAGATAGATTTAATAGCAGATGACATACAACAGAAGACAAGATTAGTAAACAAAAGACAGGTTAAAAGAAAATACACTCTTAAAGGTCAGAGAGGGGAAAAAATGAACATAAAAAGCCCAACATAAAAATGGCAACAAACCTGCCAAAAATGATGGAAAAACATTAATCTATACCAAAAAAAAGCCTTAGCAGACATATGAGACATACTGAAAATGTTAAAAGGGTATAACAGAAGTCCCAGAGGAGAGGAGAAACAGAATAGGATAGAAACAGTGTATAAACCAATAATGGCTGAGAATTTTCCAAAACTGATGAAAGATCTCAACCAACAGATTTAAGAAGCTCTACAAACCTCAAGCAGCAAAAAAAGAAAAGAAAACCACTCCTCAGCACATCATTCTAAAATGCTAAAAACCAAAGGACAAGGAGAAAAACTTTAGAACATCCCAAGAAAAAAATTCCATTATTTTCAAAGGAAAAACACTGACATTGACAACTTTCATCACAACAAAAATGAGACAAGCAGAAAGAGAATAGAACGATACCTTTAAAGTCCCATCCAGTCATTAGCAATAAAACACGTGCTTAGCAGAGTCTATTACCACCACTGCAAATTAACCAAGCATGTGTTTTACTGCTAATGACTGAATGGCACATTCTAGTAGCATCCATGAGCACCATGAATAGAATTATTATTATTATTATCATCATCATCAAGAAAACATCATTAATTCAATTCATATCACACTATCAAAATTTGTAATAGAAAATTTCAAGTACCCACACACACATACGTATACATATATATGCACACATACATGCACACACATGCTCATTTCTCCACCTTACCTAAAGACCTGCAGACTGAAATAGTTGCCTCCTCCAAGAGCTTCAAATCAGTACTGGAAAGATAGGAGAAGAAAGATAATTAATAATTATAACCCTAAATATGTACACACTAGTTAAAGAAATATATGAAAGAAGAGAAAAATAATTTAGAAGGAAAATATGATATACTAGAGGCCCGGTGGGGTCCCTCAGCCTGGCCTGTGCCCTCTCACAATCCGGGACCCCTCGGGGGATGTAGTAGTGCAGGAGACAGCAGGCGGCCAGGGAGGAGCCTGCTCATCCCAGTCTCGCTGCCCAGGTAGCACTGCAGCAGAGGCGGGAGAGGCTCCCACTGACGCAGCTGTGTTCGCCAGCTGTGAGCCCGGGGTCTGGCACCCATCGGTCAACTCATGCGTTGAGTATCTGTCCCCTAGTGGTCAGTGCATGTCATAGCGATCGGTCAACCAGTCGCTTAGGGTTTTATATATATAGATAGTAGTGAACAATAAAATCAGCACAATAAAATGAAGCTTCTATTTTCAATATAATTAGGAAATTTACTATAATCCTTCATATGACATTCCTAAAAGATAAGAGCTCAGGGCACCCTGCCTTTCAAGCATTGAGGCAGGGAGGAATGGTAGGATTGGAGGCTTGGAAAAACTTGATAAAGGCACACCAAAGTATAGAGCAAAAGACAGGGGCCCCCTCCGCCCATTTGTAAGGGGAGTACATGGGATACACTTATTTAGAAAAATACTATTATTTTCAGGAAATGGGAATTTTTTGTTGTTGTTTGTTTGCTAATCCTCACCTGAGGATATTTTTCAACTGATTTTCAGGGAGAGTGGAAGAGAGAGGGAAAGACAGAGAAAAACATCAATGTGAGAGAAGCATATCGAATGGTTGCCTCCTGCATGAGCCCCGAACAGGACCCTTTGGTCTGCAGGCCGACGCTCTATCCACTGAGTCAAACTGGCCAGGGCAAGATGGGAATTTTTTTTTAAATATATTTTATTGATTTTTTACAGAGAGGAATGGAGACAGAGAGTCAGAAACATCGATGAGAGAGAAACATCGATCAGCCGCCTCCTGCACATCCCCCACTGGGGATGTGCCCGCAACCCAGGTACATGCCCCTGACCGGAATCGAACCCTGGGACCCTTCAGTCCGCAGGCCAACGCTCTATCCACTGAGCCAAACCGGTTTCGGCAAGACGGGAATTTTTAAAGTTGCCACAGAAGGAGCTGCCTTCCTTCCTTCTTCTCCTCCCCTCCCTGGAGTCCCTACCACCCATCCATCCTAACGGGTATGAAATCAAGGGAAGGAAGGAATACAGATAAGCAAATTGAGGCTTCCAAGGAGTTTAATATTCAGGAATCGGAGCTACAGGAAGAACAGGAACTAGCTTTAGAGTCTGGGGGCTGGTTTAAAAGTTTCCTGTTCTTTTCTGCTAATACACATGGCACAACAAATCCTCCAAACAGGCAACTCTTCCATGGCTCCCTGAAAAATCCCCACCTCCTAGGGAATATATAAAAATAAAGAAGAGAAAAGTACTATCACTGAGGAGGCACACTTTTAAAAAGGAAGAATCCATAAGCATTTAGAGCATCTGACACACGAACATTTTAGAGAACCTGTGGAAGAACACTAATTGCTTTAGCCATCTCTAGAACTACGCTGTCCAGGATGCTTCCTGGGGCCACATGTAGTGTGAACTGTGGCCAGTCCTAATTGAGATGTGCTAAAATACAAAGTACACACCAGATTTCAAAGATTAAAAAGAATAAAACATATTTCATTATAAATCCTTATGTTCATGAAATTATAACATTTGGGATATATTGGGTTAAATGAAATATTAAAATTAATTTCACCTGTTTCATTTTACTTTTTTCATGTGGCTAATAACCAAACTTTCAACTACATGAATGTGTTACATATTTGTTTGTTTGTTTGTTAACAAAGGTTTATTTTTATATGAACCTAGTTCCACGCCAGACACAGAGGACAGGAGGGGACAGACAGGAGGGGACAGACAAGGTCACGGTCCTTACACTCATACTCGGGACAGCCACCTCCGTGTCTTCCATCCTCACCTCAGCCTGACAAGGCCAGTGAATGGGGAGGAGTCCAGACAGGTGACTGGACGAAAGATGTGCTATTTCTTGACTAGGGGACACAGAGGGACAGGAGGACACAGTGGTACATAAAAATAGAGATGCCAACAGTTAGATGCACATCTAGGCCTGAAACAGAAGGAAGTCTGGGCTTAACATACAACTGGGCAGTACCGGCTCATAATGAAAACGTGGGTCCTCGGCAAAGGGCCCTGGTGCCTGCTGCCATCTGAAATGGCCTTGCATTAGGATGGCTCAAGCTGCTTTCTGTCCCCGGTGGGTGCTGGGCACTCAGTAGGCCAACAAGTGCAGCCAGAAAAAAGCACAGGTAGTACCAGGGCCAGCAGAAGCTCAGAGACGTTAACCTCTTCTGCTGATGTGAGATCTCGGGTCTTTGCTTGGCTCCGTCATTTTACCTGGGAGTCTGACACAAGGAGCTAAGACGGTGTCAGCCCCTGGCTGATGGGAGGGTGGATGGGGTCCTTCTCAGATGAGCGCAGTCCTAGTTTAGGCAAATATCAAGTGAAAAAGGTATGACACCAGTCAGCCCCAAGATGTCTGTCTGACTCCTGCGCCCTGATGATGGGGTCACAGGCCATCCTCTGGGTCGTGTTCATTCCCTGAGTGACAAGAGTCCCAGACGAGCCAGTCCTGTGCAAACAACAACCCCAGGACACGGACCACAGGCCTCCGCACAGTGAAGACATACCGATGAGCACTTATCCCTTCCTATCACTTCCTGAGGGCCTGCCCTGGTGGGTGGGGGGAAGGCCACAAGGACAGAAGCCCCTGCCTTTGCGGTCCTAGTAGGGACACCGACAAACACAGAAGCATTTAAAATGCAAGGGCCGGGGCCTGGAAACGGCTGACCGGGAGAGGTCGACTTCAAGGCTGCATTTGGCAAAGTTGAAGGGCACAGCTAGGCTCAAACTTCCCTCCCACCCCCCACCCGTCTTAAATTGTTACTTCTGGGGACCCAGGAGTGCCCCCTTCAAAACTCCATGTGGGGTTTTTGAATAAACTATTGAGAATCAAAAATTTTTTAAAAGCTTTCTTCCCTTAAGCACCCGGAGAGCATTATTTACAGAATCCACATTTAAATTTACAGCAAACATTGTTCTAGAACTTATCAATAAACTACATTTTCTACTTTTCCCCCTTGAACACCTGAGCTAAACATCGTCATAGCCCCGGTGACTTCGGGCCCTTATTTTCTTGACGCCGCATCTTCGTTCTCCTGCTTTGTCTTTTCAGCAGGCTCTTGGCACTCCGCATCACTCTCAGTTTGGACAGACTCTCCCAAGCGTCCCTGGTGGGAGGGGCCGGCACCCTCCTTGATTTCTGGTGATGCTCTAAAACCTGCATCTCACAAACTAGGACAGTATCATATATAAAAAGCATTATGCATGGCCATACAAAGCTAAGGCCACTGACTGCTTCAGTGGCTATGCTATTCCCTTAAGAATCTCAAATTATATTCATATTGAAAAAATACAAATATCTTTTCAAAATTAAACCTTTAAGCTTAACTAAGATTTAAAAAAATTTTAACCAAAATAATCTAGAAATAACCTACAGTAAAGTGCTTACAGGTACTAGATATTTTTAGAGTGTCTGGATGCCTCACAACGTCTGTGGGTCTGCTGTCCTCCCATCCCTTTCTCCTACCTTCCCATCTCCCCCTCAGGGTGAGCGGAGCAGGGGCAGGCAGGCTTGCTCAGCATGACCCCACTCCCTGGCCCCAGGTGACTGGTCAGGGATAGATGTCTAATGTAAGCCACACCAGAGTCTTGAGGAATTTGGAATTGAGATGGAAAGACAGGTTTTCTGATGGCTGGAACTTGGGAGGCAAAGCTGAGGGTTATGGGAAGCCATCCTCCACTGAGAGGCAGAGAAAGCTGGTTAGTAAGAAGATGAATAAGAGAGCTTCGTGGACAAAAGCAGCAATAAACAGAGAAGCCTCTCAGGATTCCTGCCGGCCTTCTGATTCTTGGGACCAGTTCTTCCCAAAGCCTGACTGCGTTTATGATCTTCGATTCTATTAGACCCCACCCCTGTCTCTTCATCACATAATCCCCTCTTTCCGGTATATGCTAAATCACATTGATTTTTGTTAATAACCAAAAGGTCCTAATTAATAAATCACTGTGGTAAGATTTAATAATACACTTAGTAGTTGCCAAGAAGTGGGAACTATGAATTACTCAGTTTATTGGTTACTCGGGGAAAAAAAAATAAAGAGGTATAAAATGCAAAAGATTGTAAAGAGCTTTATGAGGGTAGTAACTAGACCACATGCATTAAATCTGTTTCACTGGTGCCTCTACTTTCTTCAGTCAATAACACTCTCAACGCTCGCTGGAACCAAGATCTTCAATTATATACATGTGGTTATAAACTTCAAAAACTTCTGAATTTGTTCATTCAACAAACATTACCTAGATGCCCAGGACATGCTGGGCTCTATGAATGATGCTACCTCTCTCTCCAGGCTACAAGGAGGAATGAAGCAGCAGAGACTATTGGGAAGTATGAAAATCAAGACCAGCCCTTTGCCTAAGCTCATAGGAAGTGCACCCAACCTGCCCTAGGAGCAATAAAGGAAGGCTTCCTGGAGGAAGAAACTGTGTCCTGAAGGAGCAAAAGAAATCAGCTGGGCAGACCAAAGGAGAGGGCTTTCCAGACACAGGAATAGTGTACCAAAGGCAGTGCAGTCACAACCTGGCATGTTCTTGGAAGCGGAGATGAATCAACACTGGAGAAGGGCAAATAGAAGCCTGGAGAAATACACTAGATGGCTAGAATACAGAGTTCAGTTTCTCAACTTGTTCTCAAGAGAAAGGTTCCCAATACAGCGTTCTGATTGATTTCTAAGACAATATTAGCCTTAAAAAGGGATTATTTACACATGTATCAGTGAGGTTGTTTGGACATTATTTCTTCCAGGAAA